TGTTGCTGGCTCGGAGTCTACATTTTGTTATTCCCAAGTGTCCTATATGGATTCATTTTAGCATTTCTTCTCTCAATGCTTCTGGAACATATATTCTTGTTCCTCGTAATACAAGATCATCAGCAACAGAAAGTTCTTCCTTTACGTTGAAAAATGTCTTTAATTGATCTGGAATTTCAGATTTTTCTGGCCAGCCATCAATGAATGATTAAGTTCCGTAATTTCATCTGATTGTGTTATGGAGGTTGTTAATGTGTACATCCCAGTTCATTTTTTCGTCTAATGTGACGCCAAGATATTTGAAACTAGCTACTTGTTCAATAGCTTGGCAATCGCATATACTAGCATTGCAGTCATGCGCATGGTATTTTATTGGAGATAAGAACTTAAAACCTGAAAAATCAAAGTTGATATATTTTGTTTTACTGACATTTATTTCCATGTGATTTTTTACACACCAGTTTCTCAGCAGCACCAAGTGGTGTGTAATGCTTTCATATATGTCCTGCTCTCTTTGATGCGAGTAAAATAAAGCAACGTCGTCTGCAAAACATTGATCCTTCCTCTGAACGGTAATTCCAAAAGGTCGTTTATGAAAATTAAAAATAAAGTGATTGACGTCACTGAACCTTGTGGAACACCCGATCTTACAATGTGGGGTTGGCTGACATTGTTTTTAATTCTTACCTGTTGGTTCCTCTGAGTTAAATAGCTTATCAACCAATTTAAGGCCACACCTCTGATACCGGCAGCTTCTAATTTGTTTAATAGAATTGTGTGATTCACGAAATCAAAAGCTTTTTTAAAGTCTATAAACAGCCCTGTAGTCTTTAAATTTAAGTTGCAGTTGCTATAAACTTGTTCAGTAACTGTAATCAAAGCATCTTCTGTAGATTTACCTTTAATGAACCCAAATTGTCTGTTACTAAAAAAAATTTAAATTATTTAAAAAATTTAACAAACGTATTTTGCATATCTTTTCAAATATTTTAGAGAAAACAGACAAATGGCTTATTGGTCTTAGATTGTCAAGTTTCAAGTTATTACTTTTTTCCCATATTGGAACTACAATACTTGATTTTAATTTATGCGGAAAGACACCATTTACAAAACTTAAATTAATAACGTGGACTAAGGCAGGGGAAATTACATCTACACATCTTTTGACACAATCCACTGTTATTTTATCATAACCCAGAGGATTTTCTGGTACTATCTGGATTTAAACAGGTACTGTCTGTTGTTTGCAAAAAATTAAGAATCAGCCGATGATTAAGCCAAATTTGATAGAATTTCAATTGCACCTTTAACAGGAATACCACCACATAAACTTACACTAGTTATAATTTTTTTTATGTTGATCAGAAAAAATTTAGGGTTAATTTTGGTCAATATGATGCCTTTTTACTTTGCCCTAATGTTGTTAAGCCTTAACAAAAGGAGTATACACTTAGAAATATTAACTGGGAAGGGATACACACTTTTAGAACCAGTACCAAGAATTTTAATGTAAACATATCGGTGACGGTTTGAACAAAACAACCTTATCTGAACAACTTTTTGTTATTTAGTAGATGACATATTCTTTAAACTATGTTTGGTATATGTAGTAAACATTAGAAGGAATGTGAAAAAAATCACACAATGTTGGGTTTTTGAACGTTTTTAATTTTATTTCCTAAGTTGGTAGGCCATGTATTCTAGGGAAAAGTACCGGATCCATTTAAGGATCGTCGTCGAATAGGTTGTTATGAATAATTGGGTAGGCCTAGGCAAGGCGTGGCTGTATGGTCCAGCGATTGCAGCACATGGCGGTGAGTAGAAACCGAAAGTCACACATTGGAAAAGCGAGTTTAGCATCATCCGTAAACCTCTGATAAAATCACCCACTGCAGTTGTGATTTTTCACTTTACACTTTAAGCTATGGTTCAACAGACTGCGGAACTTCCGCCTTGCGGTGCGTAAATCTGGAGGGGTGGTTCCACTGACTGCGGAAATAACGTTGCGGAAATTCAGTTCTGTTTAAACTAGCGACGAGTATAGAACACAAATATAATACCATAAATACCATAAAATAATATTAGGTAATATTCAGAATTAATTATTTTTAATTGTTGTTAGTTCTATTGTAAACTAATGTTAGACCTAGTTCTTAAAAATCACATTATTGATTTTTTATGAGGATGGTGATAGTAAACATTAATAAAATAACAATTTTAACTGAAATTTTGGTTTTATTGATACACGAATAAAAAATACAAGCCCCAAAAAGAATAAGGTTATTGAAATAATGTTAGGAAACAAAATTGATCGGTCACAATAATTAATTGATGGCTCTTCTCCGCTGGCGGAATCCGCACTGCCACTGCTCTCAGACCAGTATGATTTGTCCACCATGCGGAACCGAAAATTCGGGACACTCGCGTCAGTGGTATCAGGGTTCACTTAGTCCGCAGGTTTGCTGCGGCGGGGGTATTTATTTGACACTCTGATTATCCAATTACAACTTTTTTTGTTGAGGATTTTACTGTAAAAATGGTGAATGAATTATTAATTTATTACCTAAGGTTTTCTTTCTTAGAGTAAGAGTCTACAAAGTCGGTAAAATTAACTGAGAACAGAGTGTGCTGCAGGCAGCGCATTAATTCCTTCCCTAATGGGTTAAATATACAGTAGACCCCCTCTTAACCGACCTCGTATTAACCGATAATCGGATTATCCGCCTTCGATCGTAAAATAATACAATTTGTTTTAACCGACCTTGCTTTGAGAGCAGTTTGGTTTAACCGCCGCTTTCTAGGAATCTCGGCATTTCCGCTCCCACGCTGGGCGATGATAACTGAACCATATGCTTATCTACACAGGATATGACTAAGAATGAGTTATTTTGTATTGATCACAAAAAATATAGCATATTGTCAGTTTTTCATCATTGTTCGTAGTGCGAGCACATCTGATCTAATTTGTTATCTGTGCGGCAAATTTATAACATCGTTAAGTGTGTCGCCGGAGTAAACAAACAGCGCAACTTGTAGGGAGGGCAGGGAAGGGGGTTAACAATTCCAAGGTCCAAGGTCAAGATAGTTTTTGTGACTCGAGCCTCCAGTGAGAGGCTATAAATAAACATCCTGTCTTGTAACAAAATGGTTGCTTGTATCTTTAATTTCTACAAAAGGTCCTGTACTGTATTACGATGGATTTTGAAAGCATCAATTAATACATTACAGTACTAAAGTTATTAAAATAGGAATTTGTATTGACTCTTGCCTAGTACTATAATATATTCCACTGAAAGGAGGCCCATTTGACTTAACCGTGTTTTGTGTTTATTTGTGACTTTTCTATCAATACAAAAAAGGAGATAAGAGTAGTTTATTTTATAAATAATGCAAGTATGACTTAAAAATAATGATTATATAATTCCAAATGAATAGCACTTCATTACGTTATGATTTTAGGGATTGCCCGTTTTAACCGACCTTTTGAGTTATCCGACCTAGGTCCGGTCCCATTAGGGTCGGTTAAGAGGGGGTCTACTGTAGTACAGTACTGTTAACAGTATTATTCAAATAATCCTAAACCACCACATTGCATAAAAAAAAAACAAGGTGGATCTTTCTAGTTTGAAAAGCATATAAATATGCTTTATTGAGTTCAACCTGAGCAATTGGCTCAATCATGTCAACATCAAAGCATCATAATAAATGGCAATGGCTGACTAAAGCACATGCCACTTTGATCAATTCCCAGCCTGTAGTAATAAAAGCTATTCCCACTAACAAAGAGTTATTTGTTGTAATGTGTATTGATTAAACGAAACTCTAATTTTAAAATTGAAATAATATTTAATTCACCATAATATAAAAAATACCCCCGCCGCAGCAAACCTGCAGACTAAGCGAATTTCAACTTGTCTGATTACATTTTTACTAAAATATTTCCATAAATAAGACATATTTATTCCCAATTTAAATAACATTAGATTTAACAAGTGCTTAGGTTTGCTGCTACGGGGAAGGTAAAAAGTGATTTTTGACCATATGTCAATAGTATAGGATGAAATAAATAAATTTGCCAAATTTTATCAATATATATCCATAAACAAGTAAACTACAACAGTTTTCATTTTCTCCATAAGAATAACATGGGAATTTTAAATTACACTTTTTTTTATTTTCTCCGTGACCGTTAGGCATACAACAGCGCTTCAATATACTAAATTATTTCTTTTTTTAAGCTCTACAAAATGGTTGAGACCCCCATAAACCCCTGTTCCCATGATCCGATTATGCTGGTTCGCGAACTCGTTCAAATAAACGTAGGTTTACACGTTTGTACCAAATTTCATCAAAATCGGATCATTTTTGCTCGAGTTATCGCGCTAACGGACACATATATATATATATATATATGAATTTGAACGGATGGTGCTTTTGGTCTCTGGGGACCTCAAAACGAAAAAGTAAATCGGTCCTGGGTCTAGGTCTTACCATGAGACCTACGGTAATAGCTTATTCCCTATATGGGAAATTCGCTAATACAGTAGATTTTATCATAAATTAAGCAAAAACAGAGATTAAATAAGTACTTAAACAGTAAAATATTTACTTTTTGAAAAATTCCTCAATTTTTTCTGTTTTACTTGAGCCACCCTTTTCCTAGCAGCAATGTGACTCCGTCTTTGCAAAAGTCGGAAATATCCATTTCCCATACATTTGGTATTTGAATATACCTATTTTAAAGCTAAAACAGGTTATCATGTTAATCACGTTGAATTGTCAATATACTGAAAATAGGGCTCTGAATGTACTGTCCTGCTCCTTGCTAACTGCTTGGTAAATGTACTATTCTGATGCTCACTCTACTGTTCAGGTTGTGAAAAATTGCCTGATTTTCGGATCTTAATAAAAAAACATTTTTTCACATTTTTCTCACAGGACCCTTAGTTTGGAACCGCTGATAAGTAAACTCAAGAGCATAACCAAGTGCTAACTTGCAGGTGCCTCAATGGGAGGGCTACTGTGGAACTGTGTCTGCCTCACTCAGTGATGTGGTGAGAAGCAGGGAAGATGATAGTGGCATATGGATGTATTGTGATTATAAACATATGAATCAATACTTCAAAAGCAGATCTGAATTATTGGAGGTATTTTAACTTGTATTTATGTAAAAGCTATCTCATTAACTTATGCTGCCTTAACAAATTTCCCAATTCGCTAACTTAAAATCACTGGAGTTTGGAATTTGTCTTTCAGTTAGGTAACTCAATTAATTGGAGCAGATACACTGTAATGATATCCAAATTCCACATCAAAGCCGTTTTCTTAATAACATTAATATAACTTTATGTTTGACCCAACATAATTTGGATACTAGAGTTTCAAAGTAATATTGCATTGGGGTGTGAGGTTAGGTGATATTAGCTGTATAAATATGTAAGATTAATACATATTATGATCAGCGATTATTAAACCTAGTAAGTATTACAGTAGAACACCTGATATCCGGCCTTGGTTTTACCGGTCCTCTGTTTATCCGGCCAATCCAGGAAGCCAATATCAAAATGTTTTTCTCACAGCTCATGGACATTTAGATGCAATCTTTTTGTCTTTGTGACTTAAAAAGGGCGTTCTCACTATTTATCTGTTTGTTTATACATTGTAGTGTGTCATCTCCAGGTTACAAGATTTGCCACGCGAAGGCCAGGAAAATACACCTATCTTAGGACTTTTCCGGGTATTTTTCTTTATCTGCTTGAATGTTGTCACCTTATTGTCGTGTAACCTTTTGATAATTTTCATGTTAGCCCTAATAACAACATTTTGATCTTTTTAATTTTTAGACTTTTTTGTTGTTTGGGTCTTTTTTATTTACTTGAACCAGCATTTTGTATATTTAAAGTAACTAGTTAACCCTATGCTCTGCCACGGGAATATTGTCAGCAAAAAAAGACATAATAATTAACAAATACTGTTTATCTTTGTATTTTATTTTAAGGGCTGCTTAATTTCTTACATGAAATATAACTGATAGTTTGCCTGTATAAACTATTTTATGTTAATCAAACCGATATATTAGTTTAACCAAATGAATGTTTTATATATCAAATCATTCTTCATTCACTATACATAAAATAACATGTATTGAATAGAGTCAAATAGGCTATGAATACGTATAACTACATATTACAAAGTGCTTAACGTATTAAAGTATATTACTAAGATTAACTGTAGGGAAAAAAATAAATTGATTGATAATAATCTTTAAAAAGTGAAGCATTTCTAACTGAATATTTAAACAAAAATATAAGTTAACATTGATTCAATTACAATGACGAGCAGTTAATAAAATAAAAAACATACATCCATTTTCTGGGCTTAAATAAAAATAAAAAATAAAAATAAAAAATAAAAATAAATGTATTACTAATCATGGTGAAAATTTAAATTGTTCCCCTAATCTTGCTATGGAATTCAAATGATGTAACTACTAATTTTTATTTTTTTGAAATTCTTCTATGGAATAAAATGGAAATTTGATTAAAAAGTCGTTTAGTGTTCTTTTAAATGTATTCAAATTGTCTTCTTTCTTTATATGAGCCGGCAGGTGTTGCAAAAAACCTAAACCAGAATAATAAGTTTTCTTTTTGAAAAATTCCAATCTATGTTGTGGTAAGTTAATTTTAAACCTAGTGTTATAGTCATCAGTATTGCTAGAAGTGGATGACAATTGAATTTGTTTTGCATAGACGGATGTTTCATAAATATACAGACTATATACTGTTAGGATTTGTAATTCCTTAAAATGTCTCTTAGCTGAATCCTTTTTTTGCAGTTTCATCATTAGCATTAGACGAATAGCCCTCTTTTGTTTGATAAGGATAGAATCCAAATTGGCCTTTGATGTTGCTCCATAAATAGATATTCCATAAGATATGTGACTATGCAATAATGAAAAGTATATTATCCTCAAAGTGTCTTTGCTGCAGATCTGAGACATCTGTCTCAAAGCACATACACCAGAAGTCAATTTTTTAACAACAGGTTTAACGTGTTTGTCCCACGTAAGATTTTTGTCGATAATTAATCCAAGAAATTTAGTCTGTTCAACTTGCTCAATGCTGTCATTGTTTATACAAATTTTTGCCTCAAATTTTGTTGTTGATTGTTTGGTTGAAAAAGATATGAAGTTAGATTTATTTGCATTTATTAGATGATTTTTTTCTTTTAAAAATTCATGAGTTACTTGAAGATTTTTTGAAGAAGATGTTTCAATTTCAGAATTAGAATTTCCATTTAGCAGGATATTAGAATCATCAGCATACAGACACATGGATCCGTCACTCCCAAGAATAGTCCCAGGCAAACCTCTAATATAACAAAGAAAGAGTAGAGGGCCCAGGATCGATCCCTGGGGGACTCCATATCGTAGTGTCCGGTGCTGTGATTGAATTTTTTCTATATAGTTTATTTTATAATGTTCTATGATGTCATCCACTTCAACAAACTGGGTCTATTTTTAATATAGGATTCAAACCATTTAAGTTCTTTATCACAGACTCCAAGTTCATTTAAAACCTTAATAAATTTATTGTGCGACACACTGTCAAAGGCTTTACTGAGGTCTAAGAATATTACTACAACCTTCTTCCCTTTATCAATTGCATTTATTATAGACTTTATAAATTCTATACCAGCTGTTACTATAGATTTTCCTTTTTGAAAGCCATGTTGCTCTTTGTCCAGTAACTGATAAATTTGAGTTTCATAAAAAAAAAAAAAAAAAAATAGTATATGAACTGTGCAATGCTGATAACCTACTAAGCATATACATATGCTATGGAGATAATTTGTTCAAGTATATTCTTATATTTGTTGTTTTTTTTCATTACATTTGATGTATAGATTAAAGATAGTCAGTTACATGTAAATCTCGCATCAGCAGTGGGTCGCATATCAGGAATCTTTGACCCATTCTGTGAGTAACAGCTGTGTTTACGTCGTATTATAAAGAGCATACTTTGTTAAATGTTAGAGGGTATTAACGGTCCAATCCGATGGTAAAAGGCGTCCCGAATCTTAAAATTATATAGACTACCACTACCAGAAAGATGTTGATTCATGCGTGACTTAGAACTCGCCATTTCAAACGCAGATTTGTATGATATTATATTATTCAAATAGTTTTTTTGTTTCTTTTGGCCCTTAATACTTTTTTTATAGTCGCTGTAGTCCTGTTGATAAGATTTTCCATAAACTCAAAATTTTGATAAGGAGCTCATTTTACCTTCCCCTTGTGACAACATAAGGAGAATATATTTGTGTCCCTGTTTGTTCTGACTCGAAATTCATAGATTTGCAGTAGTGACAAATCCAATTTAACGACCCTAATTCAAAAGAGTTGGTGTTTTTTTATAGGGACTTCCAGAGCACATTTAACACCATCACTGCTTATTACCTTTTTAGTTTGATGGTTCTCTACGTGTTTTTTCGTTCTGTATGTCTCTTTACGCCCGGTTAATGATTACCTTTTCTTTTTCTTTTAGTACTTTTCATACCCTGGGGTTAATGATAAAGTTTTATAACGCTATAATGACCTCAGTCAACATTGCCATTAAACATCAAGATCAAGTAACATACTTCTTCGCCAAAACCAAAATCGTAAGTCACAGTTTCTTAAGCAACTTCCATGTGTACTCGAAAAAAAAATAGTTAGGATATAGTTCACTGATAAATTGTAGATCCATGTATCCCAGTGTACTCGCCATCTCGAAAAGGTAAAATTTGGTACTGCTTAACTTCAAACACTGATTTTGAGTAAGATGAATCACTTACAATAAAATGTTTGTATGTTTCCCACTCATTAGCAATTATCTGTACAACGTGCAAAGTGGATTTCCCTATGATTGTTCTGGTGGGTAAGTTATAGAGAATAAATTATATTGATCAAAAAATAAGTTTCCGTTCCCTTCTTTGGATATTATTTCACATTCCATACCCAAACTTAGACTCAATTGCCACTTTCCTTCAGATCACTTCGCAAGAAAACTAAAACATTCCAAAAATACAAAATTTACACCAAAACCTTCAAATAATGTTCAAATACATTTATAAATAAAACATTGTGGTATAAAAACTTAACAAATACACTTTTCCTTGATCAAAATTGAGTGTTTATAAACAGAAACTCCTAGATTAATAGTTACATACTTTTAGTATATTGAAACATAATTTACAAAACCCAATTTATTGAACTCACAAATAAGACTAAACTAAAAAGGAAACAAAACATAATAATATAAAAAGTCATCTGACAGATGTTATAAATAAAACATATGGACTTATTTCTTGATACATAACACTCCTCCCCCGTCAGGTAGTCTTTGAGATATGTCGGTGTTCGACGGATCCGAACAGGTCGAGGACTCATGCTCATTGAAGTGTTTTGGGAGTTTGATCTAGAGACACTTGACCGAACAGGTCGTGGACTCGTGCTCATGCTAGTGGAGTCTTGAGTTAAATCAGAAACGTTGAAACCAGCATCTTCTTGATGAGGGTTAATTGATCCTTCTATACTACTAAAGGAATTACGAGATTGTTGCATCACTGATGGTCGCATTGGTTGTACGTCTGGTACTCTCATCATAATAGGATTGCGGACCATTGATGGTGGTTGAACTGGAATGATATGATGTGCTTCTGGTGTTCTCATCTGAATAGGATTCTGGAATATTGGGTGGAATGGTGGGTTTACTGGAGATTCAGGATTATCCAAGTGTAAGTTAGGAGATGCTTTTGATATTTCTGAGCGAGGTCTCAATTGGTCGATATGACGTCGTATTTCAATGCCTTCTTTTGTTGTCAAATGGTAGCTCCGCATCCCGGTTATTCTAGTGACTTTAGCAGGAATCCACCTTGGTCCTCTTTGATTGTAGCTTCTTGCAAATACGGAATCATTTTCTTTAAATTTCCTCTGAGGTGACTGTTGGTAATCGTGATCAGAGAGAGCGCTTTATCAAAGATTTGTCTTCTTTGTCATTTGAAGAATAATCTGGGTGGACTCTGTCTAAGATGGTTCTAATACGCCTTCCAAACAGCAGTTCACTCGGTGACATATTAGTTGAACAATTTGGCGTTATATGAGATG